TGGCTCTCTCAAAAAGGAGCCCAGATCAAAGGGCCCCACAGGATAATGCCTTAGAATGAGCTGCTGCCTTGCCTCACTGTAAATGTCCTAAAATAACCCAGTGTATACAAAGCCTTGTGAAGTTATCTGGAGAAGATGTCTAAAATCCAATAATACCCAGTAAATTAAGATGGATTGCATGACATCATCAAATCAGTTAAAAATGTAGGGGCCTGCTTAAAAGTTTTATATAACACAAGCACAGAAAATCACCACAAAAAGTCTATGACATAAATCAAATTATGTAGCTATTAGGAAGTTATTAAGATCCTTATTATACTCAGCATTGAATACTAAGTAAACTGCTAGGTTGCCTGTCAGCCTCATAGTTTAAACTGTCCCAGAAAATGCACCCGGATAGATTTTAAGTCTGTATCTCATGGTCCTCATCCCCTTTAGCCACACATATCAAATTTTCCTGCCACAAATTAAATAATACAGCTTTGGTTCCTGGAATGTAAGCTTATTAACCAGTATTAATAAAACTAAACATACAGAATTATGGTCTTCCTATTTTTAACAAAACTCCTTTTAAAAACAGGCAAATTTAACAAAGATGAACCATTCACTGTGAGAATTTTTTTAAGAAAAGGAATAATTTTATACACAAAGAAGAGCAAATATTATGTATCTATGAAAATATATGCTTGGGAACTGTTCCTTTCAGTGTAGGAATAATAACTAGCAGTTGGAATACCAATAAATAAAAAGAAAACTGAACAAGGAAATGTTGGAGAAAAGAATAGAACATGAAATAAACTCAGAATCTCTCCTTTAGAATGAACCTGGCCTCACTGGCTAAAAGGGTTTTCAGACAATGGGGAGGTATGCCTTCTGTCCATGTCCTTTTCTGCCAGTAACCAAGAGGGCCCTTAGCTTAGAAATGGCGTTCTAAATGGAGTCTCAAACCTCTTTAGTTATATAAGAAACTACACTTTCATCTAACTATTTGCTCATTCATTTCCTTCATTCATTTTACTAAAATTTCAAGCTTGACAAGGTTAAGGGTCATTTTGCTAGGACAAGGCCTGCCATGTAGTAGATACCCAGTGAATAGTTAGGAATTTTTAAGTAACTCATCTTTTTATTCCTTAAATGCTTAGTGGAAAAAAAGGAGAGGCAGGGAGATAGCTCAGCAGAATAAGCGCAAGGGCCTGAGTTCAATCCCTGGTTAAAAAAAAAAATAAATAAATAAAATAAAATAAAATCTGCTTACTGGATCCTTACTATGTGACAAGCTCTCAACAGGTAACCTAAAGAGAAACAATACTGCAAGTAAAAGAAAATCTCATGGCAAACTAAATTAGCAGAATATTACAATATTTTCTCTACATTCAATCTAAATATAAAATACTCAGTTCTCTGTCTACCAAAGAATGGAAAATGTAGCACCTGTGGACATGTGGCCCATGTCCCAAGGTAATGTAACATAAGATGAAGGTAAAACTGAAACAATCAGGAATGCTTGCAGCTATCAAAAGATTGCACTAGAGAGACTCTGTGATTATGGATCAAATCTATATCTGACTTTAGAGGCAGCTGAACAAATCCAAATAGTTGTGATAAAACTGCAACACACACACACACACACGAGAAATCTGGGCAACCTTGACAGACTGTACCATTATCAATGTCCTAGCACAATACCATTATATAAGATTTTAATAATGTCAAAAATGGGTGAAGCTTATAAGAATATTTTCTGTACTATTTCTTACAGCCTATGATTACTTAAAATTAAATTAATAAAAAATAAACAGGAAAATTTTTGAAAACATTCTTTGCATTAGTAAAACAAAAGAACTAAGATATTTGTTAATGGGTAAACTTATATGACAGCATACTGAGAAATTAAAAATACTGTGATACAATTCTATATTTGTAACATGAAAGCTATTCATATTCAAAAAGCAAAAGGAGGGCCGGGGAGATGGCTCAGTGGAATGAGCGCTTCCCTGGCAAGTTCAAGGGCCTGAGTTCAATCCCCGGTTCCGCCAAAATAATAAAAATTAAAAAAAAAAAAACGAAAAACTTTAGAACTGTTGGGCATTGTGGCCCACATCTGCAATACCAGCAATTGGGAGGCTGAGGCAGAGCATCGCTCTGAGTTCAAGGCCAGCCTGGGCTGCACAGTGAGGCCACAATGAAAAAAAAAAAAAAAAAACCTAAAAAGCAAAAGCAATGAGACTTATGAAACATGAAAGAACAATCTTTTATTAAGAAAAAGAAACATTTGTAAAAGTATATGCCAAAATATTATAAATGTCTATTTTTATATGCTATGATCGTGAGTGGATCTTTTTCACATTGCTTCTTCACATTTCCTCCTCTTAATGAGATTATGGGTAATGAGATTATGTTACCTTTCTCTTCACACAGCCTTACCTGTTGCCCTCTAACACTGAACAGCCTCTCTTTTCCTACCAGAATTTGGATGCTAGTAGACCTCACTGAAGATATACTTACATGATGGGTGCCAGATAAATGACCAAAGAAGTCTTGGTAGAAATTGGAAATAACAATTTAAAGCGATAATATACATTAGGTTGCTTCCACTAACTTATTATGATGCAATTCATGTCAAGGAACCAATACATCAGTTCAGCTCAAGAATTATGATCAATATAATCATTGGTTGACTTGAACAGGTTAAGAGGGTGATGAACCTACTGGGGTACTTCAGGTAGCACACTTACCCTCATTTGTGTCCTCCATAGGTATAAGCAAGGCATCCACAAATTTGGCTTCTGGGCCAGCTAAATAATGAATGAGTCCACATTTGGCTTAATGAAGCCACGCTTTGTTACTTTTAAAGAATTAACAGAGGAATTTCATATTTATTTTGTAGTGACAGCATATTAAGCACTTCAGCAATACTGTGGCAATTCACCAAAAAAGGTCTTAGTTAGGTGTTATATGAAATCATGAAATTAAGTAGGAAAACATACACATCGAAAAGGTTTACATGTTTTAGAAAAAAAATACATCAAAAATTTTAGATAAATGGCACTCTTCACAAAGTCTATTGAACAAATGCCATATTTTCATTGGCTGATAGAGCCATTTACACACATGTATCATTTTCTGTGTGCCAAGACCTCAGTGAAGTCCACTTCCTACAACCACCCATGCAAGTGATTATAAGAGGAAACTGGAGGGTCAATGATATAAATTTATACGGCATTTACTAGAAGTCATGCAATTACCAAGTCTGACAACTCCCAAACCAGCATACATCACCCTTTACTTGTTATCTTAAAACTTTGAAAGAATATTCTCTTTGGATAAATAAGAAGTCATGGAAATTTTTTTATAAGGTCATAATATATCACTTTAGGAGTTTCAAAGGTAACCTAGCAATAGCTGGAAAACAATGAGAACAACTAAGGTACACTCAACATACATGTGAATGAAACAGAACGCTGATAGAATCACTGTTCATTTATTGTCAATTATGAATATGGTTACTGAATATTGTTAATAAACTATTGATCAAGATGGTAATGCCACAGAAGCTGGGAATATTTTTCTTCTCAACAGCTACACAAAATTCAATCTCTAGAATTCGATCTACTTATTCCTTCAGCAGTTACTGAGCACCTGCTGCATGCCTGGCAATGCTAAAGGTAGCAACATTTTTGCTATGAGTCAGACAAAAGTTTCAGATCTATGAAATTCACAAAAGCTCCCTCAGAAAAGTGAAGCAGTAGAAAGGGAGCCTGGGATGGAAGACTTGAGTTTTAATCCTGGCCAGGAGGCTTAAACAAATTATTTGAATCTTTGAGTCCCAGTTCCCTCTCCTCTAAACTGAGTATAATAATATCTGTTTTCATTATATCATGTTTCATTAGGAAAAATATTAGGTTATATGATTTTAAAACCCATTTATTCTTTGGTCTTAGAGAAACTGAGGCAGTTGATGAGGCATAAGAACTTTTTCCTCACTATTAAATCCTTCAAAATATTTCATTCCATATTTTCCATAATCTAAGCTTTTTGGATTTAATGTTGACCATGTGTAAGAATTGCTGGGTCACTATAAAGTCACTCTTCTGTACCTAGTCACCAATTTCAAAGTCTGTGTCACAGATTTAAGATGCACTAATTAGCTATGTTTCCCCCATCCTGGAAGCAATTTGGATTTAAATGATATCTTAGTGAATATTTCATTTTAAAATACACTGTATCTTGACTAGTTCTTTAGAAACAAATATATCTCAACTGATTATTACTAAAATCTTTCAGGAATACTCTTTCTTATGTTCTACATGATAACAACATTTCACTGTGAGAGTGAAAGAGGAAAGAGATGTAGGGGGTACACTACAGGACCACAGGAAGAAGCATTTCCAAGCTCCTCCACTTTATGGATTAAGTCAATGAAAAGCAATTGGTTTCATCCTGGGACCTACCCAAACTCTTCCCTCCACCCCGTGTGGGTGTGAAAGTAGGCGGGGATTTCACACTTATTTTTAATGGACCTAAGAAAATCAGCTTCTTCTTTCTAAACAGAGAGGTGCCAACCTTGAGACTAGAAAAGCCAACACAACACAGGCATTGTACACAAGTGAAAAGCATGTAATTAGCATAGTTACAGTCACTATTAGGAAATACCTCCTCAGGAAAGTTTCCACTTAACCCTGAAACAACACTTGAATTACCATTGTACTTAACAAGGCTTTTGTCTCTTGGCTGACTCAAGACCTTTACAACACATCTATGAATGCCAGGGCTGTCCCAAAACTGCAGACACACAAAATCTTATGCTGGATATTACAAAATAATATGTGAAGAATTCACAACATGAGACACCAAAACTACAACTTACTAAGAAACACAGTCTCAGAAATGACTAGACAAAGTGTTAGCCTAATTATTTTTTCTCTGAGTTTTTATTTACCCCCCCCCCACCACTTTCCTATCCTTAAAGACAGGCAAGGAAAACACAACTGGGTACTCACTTCATCTCCAGGATTTCCTCCAGCTGTTTCCGTCTCTCTATCCGCAGGTTGGCCAAGTGTGCTTCCTTTTCAGCCAGGGACTGCTGTGTGGAGGCAAGGCGCGCTTTGGTGGCGTCTAACTCCTGTCTGGTCTTCTCCAATGCATTCATCAGCTCTTCTATCTGAAAGGTACATGGAGCTCTGTGTGTGATTTCCCCTTCATTCAAATACAAGACATTCTTTCCTAGCCTGTGTTCTGACAAATACAAAGGAACCACAGGTATCCTTGAACTAGGCACTGTTCTCTGAGCCCAGTTCTTTCTTTGTCACTGATTAAAAATAAGTGTTTCAAACACAAAAAAATGTCAAAACTTTTCCAAGATCCACATTCAATTGGATTACTCCACAACCTTTACAGAAACTACTTAACGTAGTTACTAGAAGTGGAGGTTGAGTGGGTTGACCCAGTTTCAACCTTGTTTGGCAGAGGAAATCCCTGATAACTTCCTCACACTTAGAGAAAGGTAACACTCAAAACACATTTTTCCTGGCACACTATACTTTTGTGTGTAGGCTCCAGAGTACTTTGACAGGAAGTTAATCAACGTGTTTCAGATTCATTCATGTTTTAACCAACCAAAGCCAAGTTTGGTCCAAGCCATTTGATGTCCGTGGGGCCTCAGACACCCCTCTCACCTCACCTCCATGACTCATATTCAGGAAGCCAGATTTGGCCAAAGGTAAACAGAATTCCAGCCACAAAAAGTTAGCATTTGGTTTGCCCCTGAAGTTTGAGAGGGTTCTAAACTTGAAATAAATGACATGTAACTTTTATAGAGTGCTAATACACCATAGAAATAAGCCAGACTATCAAGTATACAGGGATTCTAGCCAGATTCCAAAAAATTGAAGCTGGGAGCCCCAAAGCAAGCCCTTACCCTCTTCAAGCCACTGGGGTCTTTTAAAAGCCAATACATGACAAAAAGGGTTGGTGTTTATGGTTTGGTTCCATAGACTTCCATGGAGAAAACTGTTAAAATTCCATCCCCTGTGCAGGCTATATCTAACCTGATGATTCAAAGATCATGGTACCAGGCAGTTTCTAGATTCCAGAGCTGATGTTTTGGTTTCCAAGCCACCTCTTCTAGCTAAACTTGGCAGTACAGACTCATCCATCACTAAAGTCAACAGAGCGTCTCTCAAAATGTGTCAATGACATGTTAAGTTCCAATTCATAAGAACTTTCTGCACCACTGCTGCAGTTTTACATGGAATTTATTCAGAATAAGCATTATAGTTCATTTCCAAAGTAAATTACATGCTTTTAAGATTCAGAAAACCCTCTATTTTGTGCTGATAAAAAGAAGAAATTCAATGACCATGAAATTTAAATCAAAGCTGAAACTAAAAACAGTTTAAAAAGCAAGTAATAGAGGATAAACCTATGAAAGTAAAAAAAAAAAATCTGTTTAACTATAGAATAGCACCATTTTTAATTTTATAAATACAGAAAATTTAAAAAGCAATCACAATTTATGTTTCTTATATAATTTTATAGAACATTATAAATATGCCTTAGAAGTTCTACAAAGCAATGCACTATGAAGCCAAGTCAGAATTTTGAGTTTTCTTTTTTTCCCTATTTGTTAGGATGCAAGAAAAGTGTTCAAAAAGTATCATGGTCATTCTACAGACCAACTCAGTTAATCTGCCTGGCCCTCCACATGGGATGACCTGTACCCTCTTGACCCGACTTCCTGCCACAAATTGCTTGTTATGTCAAACACACTATAGATTTCAGAAAAGGGAGGGAAGTTTCAGAGATTTGCAGCAGAGCTCTCTCTCTCACTAGCTGATGAGTTTTTTGTGGTCAACAGACACTGAACTACCCAACTGGCTTTAAAGTCTCAGTTTACTTGCCACCAGACTGGTTGGTGTAAATGCCACCTAGTTCTACAGTACCCAAACTTTAAAGAACTATATTTTAGACTTAGAGTCACAACATACAGTTGTTTCAGCAATAAGCACAGAAAGAAACCTGAACACTGAGAAGATATTTTACCTGATGGATATGCCTTTGGCTCCATATCAGGTGGTACTGGCATTAACAACACCCTAGAACCAGAATTTTGATACAGAGTTGTGGACCAAGGCTTCCAACATTTTCTAATCCCTGTGTCCCTGAAGGGGAAGCGTTGAACATGCTGGACTACATGGGGACACTGATAGCTCTCAGAGTTTCAATTTTTTAGACAATGCCTGTTTTTCCTCCCATGTTTAATGTTTTCAAATTCTACAAACCATATTCTTTAGTGAAGCAACAGGAGCATTAGAAGCAAGAAGGAGGGCTGCGAATATAGCTCTGAGGTCTAAGCACCTGCCTGGCAAGCGCAAGGACTCAGGTTCGATCCCTAATACTGCATGCCACGCCAGCCCTGGAATTCCAGGCATACCATGCTAGCCATCAAAACTAGGAGTGGTGGTACACATCTATAATCCCAGTGCTAGGGTGGCTGAGACAGGAGCATCACTACAAGTCCAAGCTGCATAGCAAGACCCTGTACCAAATAAATGAATGAATAAATGATTAATTTTTTAACAAATGCAAAAAAGAATAGGGGTACACTTCCATGGTAGAGCAGTCATCTAGCATGTGCAAGGACCTAGGTTATGTCTATAGCACAACAGCAACAAAAATCACAGAATATTTTCCTCAGTGTGGTGACTTTTAGGGTGGCTCCCATGTTTAATTCCTCCTCTTTCTGTATATATGGCAGGACCACTTGTCTCCCTTTGTGTTTGACATAGCTTTGGCCAATAAAATTCCCGTCATTTCCAGGTAGAAGCATGTACATGATTGGATTCAACTCCAAGCTTTCTCTTTCCTGGCCATCATGACTGTCACAACATGTTTCAAATTATACTTTTTTGACTGCTGATAATAAATTCCAAGGCCAACCTCTGTCACATAAGCAAGATATTGACCTTTGCTGTGCTATCCTATTGACAAGGGATTTGTTCTCTCAGTGTAACCTGACCCATCCTGACTGGCAAACACACAACCTCTTATCAGTGCTCTGTACCAAATTCCACTTCCTGTCATCAGCCCTCTCTCATCAAGAGAAAATCACTTGTTATTCCTTCTATGCCATGAAAACCTACTCTTGAAGACCACTGGTAATTCCCTCTTCCCAAATGTCAATGTGCACCATGCATAACATAAACACACCTACAAATTTCTCTGTTGCTGCATTAAAGTAACATTTTAACTGGCTATATAAATGTAGTTTGTGTTTTCGGGAACATCAGCTTAGTACCATAGTAGCATTTACAACTATATTACTGAGACAAGTTTCTTCATCTCTCAGCTTCACCTTCCTCATCACTCACTAAGCAGGGGCACCATGTCTATTAAATATGTACGTGTACACTAAGTGGAAGATGCAGCCCCTAAGAATTTCTTTTTCTAACTTAGTTCAAGAAAATGTTTTTTTCCAATAAGAATACAGTGCTCTTATTATACTAGATCTGAAAGCTATGGTATAAAATTTCACAAATTTTTCTTAAGATTGAATAACACCAAATTTAGTTGAGACCTCTAAAACTCCATCACCTAGAAATAAACATCATAAACAATTTTTATAATTTCTCTGTCACTATCTATAGGTACACAACTGAGATATTATATATGAATATATACATATAAACATATTTTTATCAACAGCTAAGGTACCATCAACATTCTCCCTTTGTTATTAAATACTCTTGTCTACAACCATACCATACTGAACAGGCCCAATCTCCTCTGTTATTAAATACTCTTTTGGAAGTACTGGTTAAAGAGCATGGGCTCTTCCCACTCCCCAGTTTTCTAAAACTGATGCTTTTCTTAACGTAATTGTCTTAATTACTTGCTTGTTGGGACAAAATTTTCAATACCCAAAGTTAAAAGAGAGAAGGTTTATTATAGCTGAGTTTTATAGAGGTTTCAGTGTACAGCCAGCTGGCTCAAAGGTAGGGTGGCATGGCAGAAGGGCACCATAGAGGAGAAACACTCCTTCGCATGGCAGGCAGGAAGAAGCCAGCAGCAAACCTTCCTCTCCCTTTTATTCCATTCAGAGTACAAGCTCATTGTCTGGCATCACCCACACCCAGAGTATGCCTTCCCATTATTCACACTAAGTTAAACCAATCAGTGGGCTACTTTCACTTACACACAACCTGAATCCATATTCACACACCCTATAATCCATCCACCTCCCAAAAGCCCCACCTACGAGTGCTTGAGGCTTTGGGAGGACATCCAAATACAAATCAAAACAGCTATCATCTGAATGCTTTGGCCTCCCCAAAACCCCTATGTTGAAGTCTAAGTCCCCAACATGCTGGCATTAACAAATGGGCAACTTGAGAGGCGATTAAGTTGTGAAGGAAGAGACTTCATGAATAAGATCAGTGCCTTTATAAAAGAAGTACAAGAAAGTCTGTTTCTCCTTCCATCACATGAGCACAAAGCAAGAAATCAGCAGTCTTGAACCTGAAAGAGGGTCCGCTCCAGAAGTTAGTCATGGACTTTCCAGCCACCAGAACAGTAAGAAATATATTTCAGTTGTTTATAAATCACTCAGTAATTCACTCAGTATTTTGTATAACAATCCAAAGATCTGTGATACCAGAGCCCCATTTTCCTTTTTCTTTTGCATGTTTCTCATCTCCCTATAATCCATATCTGTGTCCTCCCCATGTGACTCTGGCCTGAACACATTTCCTTATCCACACAGATCCTCAGGAAATAGACTGGGGTCTATCACCACAACTCTCACCTCAATGTGAGAGTTCTCCTGTCTCCTTTTGGTCACTTGACCTCTTTTATATGTACCTCCTAATTGCTTCTATCTGGATGTCTTCACATTACTTTAAGTTGAGGAAGATCAAATGTCAACTCCTAATCCATGTGCACCTCATTAAAAATACAATGCTGAACCTTCCCCCACTCTCCTAACCTGTCACATGTTAGCACAGCCACCACTGTGGTCCAACAGCCTGAATTTTCTCAGTCATTTATGTTAAGTCATTAATTTGTCTCTTCCTTCTACTAAAAAAAAAAATTATCTGGGCATTATGGTGCATGCTTGTAACCTTTCTTAAAGTATCATCGCAACCATGACATTAAGTCATGAAT